GAATCTATTTGATTTAGTTTAAAGTTAAATTGGTTTAAAATATGTATTAAAATTAAATTACATTTTATTTTTCAATTCAAATCGTAAACTCATATAGTTTTTAAATTTAGTAACATGTCAGACTTCACACAAAAGCAATAAGAGTGACGCAATTCAAATGTTTGGGCGCGATACGATTGCGCGCGGTCCTTATCAGCGGTACCTTTTTAAGCGTACGATTGCGCGCGCTATATTATTTTAACTTTTAAGCAACGTTGCCAAATATATAGGTCCATGGTAAATCCGAACGATACCACAGTAGATTATAGTAGATTATTTATTACTTATTTTTGCCGATATCAGACAAACTTCCCAATCTCTAAGAATGAATTGGTTATATTATCTATATAAGGTATAATAAAACCAAAATCGAATGAAGAATCAAGGAAAATTGAAAATTTGAAAAATGAACACAAACATTATAAAACACCAGAAAATTTACCAAAGTTTTTGGCCATAGTTGGAAATAGGCATCGGGGGTTTAAAATTTAATTTAAATATTGATTTACGAGTATTATATTTTTTCAATTATTAAATTTCTTTATTTTGTATTATTTTTTTTTTTTTGATATTATTAACTTTTTTATTTTTTATTATTTACGTTAATTTTTTAATTTTTTTTAAATGACATTTTTTAAAATATTATTAACTTTTTGTATTTTTATTATTTACGTGATACATTTGGCAACGTCGCACCCAATTTCACGCGCAATCGTACGCCTTTGAGTAATTAAAATGTTGTCTTTTGTTAATCTGGCACTGCGCGCAATCGTATACCTAAAAAGGTAAAACGCGCGCAATCGTACTCCGCCGAAATGTTTTTATTGTACGTAAAACGACTCAAATTTTAAGTACTACATATCAGGGGTGGCTAACGTGAATACGACCACGAGTCACTGCGGACGAATACAATGATAWCTGCAAAAGCCAAAATGTTTAAAAATACATTTTACGATTTTTTTAATTTTATCGTTGATAATAAGTACATATTTTTATTTWTTWWTTTTTTTTATTTTTTTTATATAAAATAAAACGCGAGCCGCAACTTGGCCACCCCKGCTATATAATAATATACTTACCGACGGTATTGGCTCGGGCGGCCGCAGGTGGACACCGCCGACGCCTATCATGTTTCGGACGACGGCCACTGGTTTTTCCACAGCCGGATCCGTGTTGACGAACGTGACGGCGGGCTTGCGGTAACCAGCCTGATCGTCGTCTCGCTCGTGAAACCATTGTAGCGCTGCCATCACGGTCCAACCGTACGCATTCTCTAGCCGCCTGGCAAACGTGTCKGGCGTCGCGTACCTGGCGAACAGCCTGCTGGCGTACGACGGGCCGGGGCTGGTTCCCAGCGCTTTTGCCTCCACCCACGAGGCCATCGGCGACGGGAAAACGTACACGAGAGGCACTCGGCCCAGGGCGCCGGACACGCGGGACGTGCACTCGGACGACACGAGCTCGGCGACCACCAGGTCGTACCGGACGCCAGAAAAGTGACCGGCGGCCGCCATCCGGTCCAGCCGGTCACACGTGGTCCTACTCTTGTCCACGGCGATGCCCACGAACCGCCACTGGTCCGCGAAATCGGCGACGGCCGTCCGCACGTCCAGCGCGACTTTGTCCGGTACGTCGAGCTGCAACGGTATTTCCACGTACCCGCAGCCGATTGGGCCGCCGTTGCAGACGCCAGCAGTTACCGCTGACGACGATGCGAACGGTGTGTACGCCGTCACGTTGTGGCCACGGCCACCGGTGGCCATCGCAATGAGCACCGACCGCATAAACGTCCAATGGCTCAGGGCCGGCAGCGGTTCGATGGCCAGCACGTTGACAGCCGTCAAACAGGGCGTGACCGCACACAGCACACCGAAGGTTAAGGCCGCCGCGGCGCACTGTTTCGTAACCCGTCGCATTGTACCTATACCAATATTGTTGAGAAAATAGTTATTCTAACATTGCGTATTACGAAATGTTGTAATCTTTATGATGTTTCGTGAGGCTGGGTGTTTAGTTTTTTTTTTTTTTAAGTTTAAAATTGTTTTTGTTTTCACTTGATTTTGTGATTTTGTTCGATCAGAATTTTATAGCGGTCCTCATTCGAAGACGTTTTTCGACGGATGTGTTCGAATTACTGAGTTTTCGACTCGGCGCATAATAATTGTGATTAATGAGTGTTATCTGTCTATTTAGGTATACGCAGACTACATGGAATATTATCTAGAGAGCAGTGGTTTTCAAACTTTTTCTATACACGTCACACCGTACACTTCAAAACATTTTCACGGCACACTGACCTTTTTTTTTTTTAGATGATCAAAATTGTTTTGAATTAATTATGATTGTAAATACATTTAATTAGAAATGTGTGATTAATGGGCTGACAAATATTTATTAATCATAATTACATTGTATTAGTAATTAATTAATTATTAAAATTATTTACAAAAAAAGCATGCTTATACATAGGTATATTTAATGAGAAATGTGTGCCTGATGGGCGTTATAAATATTTTTAATTCTTGGACGAATAGTTGACAGACATACCCGCATTTCTTCCTCCACTGAATTTATTCCTACAAACTGTCGACTTATTGATATATAAATATACAGGGTGATTCTTTTAAGTGGGTACACTAATTATCTCGAAAAGTATTTACTTTTTTCAAAATATTTTTTTACATGGTTTCAAGTTGTTAAAAAACCAAMGTTTTTATTAAAACATTATATTTTTAAATATTTTTTATCCTTATCATTTTTTAAGTTATTTTACTTTTTTGAATGACAATATAGAGTTTTA